TTATTACATATGTGAAAAACTGAAAACATCAAAACCCAGATACAAAATCTACATTAAAATCTCATCAAGCAGATAAAACCACAACATGCGAATGAAATTTCATCAGAAACTAATAAATAAGACAAACGTTGAAAAATGCAGATCTTGCCCAGTTTCTATGGCGCTCTGTTCAGTGCAGATGGTCAAAGAAAATTTATGCTCTCAGCGCCCTATTTTTCTCCAATTCGTCGTCGTCTTCTTCCTCAAGAACCAAGGTGATAGTTCAAATGTTTTCGTGCATGTAACCCAATAATATTAAAGGATGTATTCGTGAGTTTGATATGAGTAGTTCTGTTTACACCCAAACATTGCCTCTGGACACCTATTACCTTGACAACCCTTGCCAAAGTTTACAATTATGTGGACGCCCATCTTCATTTGTGAATTTTTCAAAACTCGCCCTACAAACAATTTTGTTCGTTTTAAACAAAAAAATAGAAGATTATTTCCACCAGAATGATCAGATAAAAAATTGGGGTTTATGGTTCATATATAAAATTACGGTTTAGGGTTAATATCAAAATTATATCTCTTAGCATTGTTTCCTCTAATTGGAAAAGGAAAAAAAAAAAAAAAAATAGAAGAGAGACTAGGAAGAAAAATAAATGAGATAAAAAAAATAACGTATATACTAGCTAGGGAGTTATCAAATGGTGTGCTGATTAAGTGGTGCGCTATAATAATGTGTTTACCAAAAGAAAGCAGAAAAACTGAGGCATAAAACTACTAACGAAACCACATTTTACACCACGTTAATTTGAGTACTGCATGATGCACAAGTGATCCAATACATAATTTGACGGTTTTATTTTCTCCCCCCCATTCAAATTTATCCTGCCATTCAACTGAGGTTACTAGAGCAGGATTATAAAAAGACTGGAGAGAGTTTTTGTATAGCTAGGACATTCGACTTGGAGGTGGTGTGAGAGGAGAGTGAGACTAAAAGTAGGCCAGGTTAACATGTTAAAATCGGGGTGGGATAGGGGAAGGGTTTTTTGTGTCTTGGCTTGTTCGGTCGGATCTTAGAATTTCTCGTAGGAGTGACATAAGTGCTTTGCTGTTGAGAGGTTGCTAGGTGCATTATTTGTCATATTTTCATAATAATTATCCTATGTTTTGTTAAGGAATTGATTATAAAAGAGCCTTATTATTTTCTTTTTCTCAGTTTCAGCCATTCTGCACATTTAGGACGTTTTTGGTGATAACTCGACTTTCCAAAGGAGTTTTGATGCAAGGCCAATTGGAGAAGGAAGCTAAGAGGCTGAAGATCGTTGTGTTCGAATTTCATAATTTTCTATGGAGCCATCCATTCCAGTTTCACAAATCAATCCCGCAGAAGTTGTTTTCCCGTCAGAATTCCACAGCTGTGAGAGAATCAAGATTTGGAGGCTTTCCTGATTTTTCCTAGTGACATGCAATATATGCAAGGAAAGATAAGAGATAAAGCTATGTTTCCCATATTTTTATAGAATTTTCCAGAAGATAAATCAACCCCAAAACTGGCGTGCAAGACAGATGACGTGTTTCCCAAGCCAAGAGTAAGGATTATTTCCTAGTTTGTGTCATTAATTGTTTAGGAGTTTGTTTTATTTTAGGAGAGTTTCTCCCAAACCTTTTAGGGTTTTTCTAGTATAAATAAGTGTCCTAACCTCTCTTTAAGATATCCATCCACCCCCGCATACCCATATCACCCACACCGTACTACCATTCACCATCTTTCTTTTATTTTTATTTCTATATGTAACTAAGTTATTTTCTAAGATTTATGATGAAGCCATGACATGAATATATGCGAAGTACTTTGTTAATTATTATCCGATTATATGCCTGTAGACATCGAATTTTCGATGAAACAAATGTTCACCAACGTCTTAAAGTTTTGACGTGTTAGGGCATACATGGCATACGCCACGTGTCGTACAAATTGTACACATGGCATGTGACTCAACAAAATAGGAAGAAATACCCTTGGATGATTAAACAAGTTTTTCTTCTCAACTTGGGCAATGACAAGGTAAGCACATTTCAATCCATTACGGATCAAAGCAAGTTTTTCTCATTTGGGCAATGACAAAGCAAGCACATTTCAAGTTTAAAATTGTATTATGTGAGAAATTAGGCCATAAATAAGACCACTTCAATTTCAATATTGCATTAAGTGGAAAATTAGGTCATTTGTTAGACCACTTCAATTTCAATATTGTATTAAGTGGGAAATTAGGCCATAAAGAAAACCACTTCAATTTCAATATTGCATTAAGTGGAAAATTAGGCCATTTGTTAGACCACTTCAATTTCAATATTGCATTAAGTGGGAAAATTAGGTAATAGTGCTTGGGTGGGAAAATTTTGTGGTGGTGATTCACTCTCAAAGCCTATAAATAGGCTTCTCCATCAAGAGGAAAAAATACCAATTCACAAATACATTTCTCTACAAGCACACCAAAACCTTGAAGCCTTAAGTTCTAAAGCTCTCAAGAAATTCCCGAAGGATCAAGAAAGCACTCTTCGTTCTTCGTCAAATCCTCCTTCAAGATCAAGCCCCAACGGCCCTTGAAGAACTTCCACCAACTCAAGATCAAGCCCCGACGGCCCTTGAAGAAAGTGTTCATCATTCATCATCCGTTCATCCTAAGATCAAGCCCCAACGGCCCTTTGGATCAACAACATCAACAAACCCATACACCCATTCTTCAAGATCAAGCCCAACGCCCCTTGAAGAAATCCACACAACCATTCTTCAAGATCAAGCCCCGACGGCCCCTTGAAGAAAGTGTTCATCATTCATCATCCGTTCATCCTAAAATCAAGCCCCAACGGCCCCTTGGATCAACATCATCTTATATTCTTAATCTTTGTGGGTATTTTATTCTAGGTTCGACTTTCTAATGACTGATCACCTTTAGGAATTTTGCATCTAGATATTTAGATAAATTTATGAGGATGACCAATCAATTAGGTTTACTGGAACTAAGATTAAGAAGAGTAGACAAACTAATGAGGATGACCAATATCAAACTATAGTCCTACTTGGTTGACATGATTCTTCTACGCTTAATGAGTTTTTATGTGTTTAATTGTATGCCTAACCAATAGGATATAATTATCATGTAGAGATACAAGAGTTGATGCCTGACCACAGATTAATTCATACCTTAGAAAGAACAACCTTTAACATTGGCATGGTAATTGGATAGTAGTTGGCTCTAGGAAAAGTAAATAGGATTGCTATTGGTGGATTCATAACCTTAGGTTGTCTTGTGTCGTGTGTGTTTTAATTAATTGTCTTTTATTTTTCTTGTTAATTTTAGTCTTAATCAATTACTCAATTATTCAACTCAATCTATCCTTAATTTGTTTGTTTAACTAAGTCTAGCATGATTAATCGGTTAAATTGGTGTTAAAGCAATCATTGTAAGATTGACCTCGTATTTACATATATTACTACAATTGATTCGTGTGTTTGCAAGGTTAATTTGGTTTAAATTAATCTATTATTTAGATTAGTTTAAATATGGTTGGTATTGCATGTCAGCATGCGAGACATACGTTGCTGACAGGAAGGGTTGATTGAATTGGAACTTGAAATGTTTTAGTGACATTATTGAAAATGTTAGGTGATGACATGTCATTTCTTTATTTTTTTTTTTCCCTCTGTATTGTCGATATGGTGGTCAATATCGATCGTATGATCGCTAACCTGATTTTTTTATTTTTTTGTTCTCCAATAAATTGATCAAATAATTGAAACATAAAAAAACATGGTGAAATTTGAATTAAAAAGCTGTGCAAAGAAAACATTACACGAAAAATAATTGAGTGTGATGGGGCAATTATATTCCCAATCCCCTTTGGATTTGGTGGATGTGATTCAGCAGGACTTGGATAGTTGGATGCAGGAGAAGGCTCGTATTTTTGGAAGCCTTGGTATAAATATAGACAAACTTCCAAAATCCGTAAGAAAGTTGTACGTGTTGCATGTATCTTACATGTGGTACCTGACGTTGATATTTTTTTGAAAGCCTTGACGTTGATATTTTATTCCTACTGATGTCTTACAAACGAATGCAGTTAAAATAATTCAATGCACTACAGTCTACACATTCATGTGAACCTGCAAACACGCTATTATCAACAGATACAGACATAATAGCCACACACAAGGGAGAGAAACCTACACATATATATATATATATTACACAACCAGAAATTACCATTTATTCGACAAAGTTTTGCTAGACGAACGGTATTTCGTCGGCCAAATAGTCTTTACCCGACAAAATAAACGTTTGTCGAGCCAAACGGACAAACGTTTTGGTTTCTGCAAATGCTTTTGCCTGGCGAACAGAGTTCGACGAGCAAAGCTTATGTCGTGGGTTAAAGTTTTCGCACCAAGATAAAAGTTAGGCACATAAAATGGCAACCTTTACACGACGAACCTCCCAGCTTTCGTCGCGCAAAGGTATATATGTTGTAATTAGGGTTTACATTTCATAAGGCAAAACATAATATTTCGTCAAGCAAAGGTAACAGACATGATTGGCGTATTTAGTTCCTTAGATGATTTTCGATGTCTACAAAATTAATATCAGCAATCAAACTGTCAAACTTGTTTGAATATACTCTAAGATTGCACACACCAAAAATCACCAGTATTAGGTAACAGGACGAAATTCTTCAACGGTTAGAAATGAAAATTCATAATTTAATGGTTATTTTAGCTCTAATTTTGATGATTTTATAACACTATTACTCGACTCTATAAGAATACAGTGAAGAATCCTATCATCAATTTAAAATATTTACACTAGTGTCTCGGTTCAATAATATAATGTCGTATGTGAGTTTTTTTAATTACAAATGAAGTTGTATTATTAGACCATGATGTCATGGGCACGGTGGTGGTGTTCCATGCATGTAAGTCCTCTACCGGAGATTAACGAACGGTGAATTAATCAAGGTTTCTTTAAACTCAGGTTATTATATATACTTCCAAGGTTCAAGAAAATAACATAACTAAATTACCACAGTATATCGATCTGATACACTCTTCAAGTAAACAAAACAAAACAAAAACGAATAATAGATTTATCCTCAAGTAGTTTTTACTTTCAAGCTTTGACATGCTTTATTATCAGCTAGCTGGCGCCACATATCCCTAATGATGACATGATTAACAACTACTAAGTGAGATTTAGGAATAAGATATGATGATCATCTATGCAGGACACTGGAATCCGGAGGGAGGAGTCTTCCCACAAGCAATGAGCACCTGAAGAGCAATGGGGATGATGAGGTTGACATTAAGAAGCTTAGCCTTGATGGTGGTGCAAAGGCAAATAGCAGCGTCCAAGTCCACCAGTCCCTGAAGCACCGGACAACATGCATCTTTGGCACTGCTTCCAATTCCAACGTGGATAAGACCACCCAACACATCTACACAAGCTCCCAATTTTAGGGTGTCAATGGGACACGTGTCCTTTGGTGGAGATGGTGGTGGTGGTTTTACAGTTGGGGGCTTGGGGGTAGATGGTGGAGGCAGTACAACTGGGGGTTTCGTGGGTACATGAGGAGGAGGCTTTGCATGAGGTGGTGGCTTCTTTGGTGGCTTAGGGTGGGAGGGTGGCTTTACATGGGGAGGATGTTTGGGTGGCAAGTGGGGAGCTGGAGGGTATGTTGGTGGTGAGCAATTGCAGTTAGCAAGAGAAGTGAGCAAACTACCCAAGTTGAGAATGAGGACTAAGAGCAAAGCCAGAGCATAATTGATCTCCATGTCAATACTACAACTCCACAACTTTCCAGAGAGTTGGGTACAAAACTGGATATTGAAACCTAATACCAAGCAAATGGCTTTATAGAGGCTTGATGGGTAGTGAGACGGGCCTAAGTGTAGGTGTGTGTGCTTGACAGAGAGAGATGTTGGCAATTTTGAGTAGAAAGTTCATTGTCTCATATTAATCATTACAAAAAAATTCCCTTACTTTATAAGACTTTGTCCTTATAAAAAGTAATTGAAGTAATAAACCATGAAGAATAAAAATTAAGTTCAATTTTGAAATTGAGCTTTGGGGTGTACTAATTGATAATTAATATGTAAAAGATGGGCCATGGGACAAAAATAGGCCCCAGACTTTATCAACTTTAAAAGGATATGGATTTGTCTTTTTTTGGGATGGGGGTGTTCATTTCCTTCCTTGGATAGGACTAGTCGACTAGTGTTATCTCTTTCTTAGTTTAAGTTTAGCCATTCCTATCCTATGAATGAGAAGCAATCGCATTGGTGTCGGCCATACACATTATTATATTTTTTTGAAATTAAATTTTGTTTTTTGAAATTTGGATGTAGGAATTTTTTTTAAGGTATGTTACATTTTACCATCTTATTTGGGTCACGTAACAAACTTATATCTCATCTTTTGATCATTACAATGTTTACATCAATTAACTTACGAATTCGTTAAATGTCAGACCGCTATTAAAAAATTTGTTAAGTTAACCGTTAAGTGGTTGTGTGGATAAACGGCTAACTTGACAGATTTTCTAATAGAAGTTTGATATGACAACAAATTCGTAATTTAATGTATGACATTGCAATGTTTAAAATATGATGTGTGAGTTTGTTGTGCAACATAAAATTAAGATGGTAAAATGTAATTTATTCTTTCTTTTAATTTACATAGGTGCTAACCCTAGCTGCATGAAATTGCATTTCAGAAAGTACAGGTGGTGTAAGCCGAGTGAGACGACATTGGTCCATGCATGCGCGTACATATATATATAACCATCATGTACATATATAATAGGTTGAATTTTTTTTTTTTCGAGTTAAGGATAAGAGTAATGCTTCACCTGCCACCACAAAAAGGTCATCGAACGACCTCTGAAACGTCATTAGGGTTTGTATTATTTTGTAATGTGAAAAGTCATGTTCAATATTATCTATATTAAAGATAGTATTATTAGCATCTAGTTTTGTTTTCTACACACCTTTATCAATTTTGGCGTTTGATCTTTATCAATTCATTTGTTCCGACGATAAAAAATTAAGATAGTGTGTGAGAAGTAAAAATAAGTGTCTAGATAGCATTACCTTTGTATAAATATGGAGGAAATAATGAGCACATGCATGTATTGTCATCGTCTTCCCATTGCAAACAAGTTTGTGTATTGGCGTTTAATGGTGAAAGTCCAACCTCTCGGTCACTAGACGCCATTTGAAGTATGTCTAAAAATGGTAAAGCAGCTGGCCTACTTTTGGTGCAAGGTATCTTTGTCGACAAAAACATTGATCTAGCTAGATATTCTATCTCGACTCTTGAGAGGAAACAAAAAAGTAGTAATGCTAGCTGGTTAGATATGGGCAAAATATATTGGGGAGATTAGGGATGAAGAAAGGTCAAGGGAGCGACGGGACAAAACAAAGAAGAAGGAATGAAAACAATTCAAAGTATATAATTTTAAATTTTAGTTTTTAGATTTCGTTTCGTACACCTTTCTTTACACATCTTCTCTACATCTTTCCCAACATCACTTCTCCACTCTTCTATGCCCACATTTTCTCATGTTCTATCTTTAACATATAGAATAAAAACTAAAAAAATAATAATTATCAAATAAACTCTAGAATGTTATACGAGACCATCCTCATTATGAGTTATTACTTATTGGTGAAATAAAAGCACCCTTCTTTTTAATCCTCCTAAATCAAAGAAATATGTGTGTATGCAGTTTTTGGACAATCTGGAAATCTCAAAGGGAATATACAACAGCTAGCCAACAGGTATATTCCATGTACATAAAATGGACACTGGAAGACAATAAGATAAATACAACTTCATATTAAGAGAAATAGTGAAGGGTATGTCCTTACACAGTCCCATTATGCAGAAAAAATATTACGAAGGTTTGGTCAATTTGACTGCAAACCTGCTGCAACTCCTTTTGATGATGGATGCAAGTTGGAGAAAAATAAAGGTAATGCCATATCTTAACTTGAATATTCTCAAGTACTTGGAAGTCTAATGTACTTGATGAATTCGACTAGGCCTAACTTAGCTTACGCAATAAGTAGGCTTAGTAGATATACAAGTAATCTGGCACAAGAGCATTGGATGCTTTTGGAAGACAGATTTGTATGTACCATTAAATTTAAATTAGTTAGAAATGCATTGTAAAAGATTAGATGAATGGATTTGAAATGATAGATACAGTGAATTGAGAGGGATTTGCAAAATGATTACTTGAAGTTGAATGAATCAATACTAAATCCATTTGTTCGTGTTTGTGTGCTTAAATTCATTTAAAAATTTTCAATCTAATATTTTTGTAAACTTGCAAATTTCTATTCATATATGTGGTTAAGGATAAAGGTAAGAAATCAAGAAAACTCGGAAGGATTTTGATATAGGCAAAGTTTGAACATGAAGTTTGCTAGTCGACCCGTGATTTGGATTCATGATGCCAAAACCACCACATGCGATGCTTTCACAAACAAAATTTTCTTGTATAAAAAAAACCATGGGGACAAAAATAGGCCCTATACTTTTTCAACTTAAAAAGGGTATGGTTTTTTTTTGTGTTGGGGGGGGGGGGGGGGGTTGGTGGGGTGGATGGGGGTGTTCATTTCCTTCTTTGGATAGGACTAGTCAACTAGTGTTACCTCTTTCTTAGTTTAAGTTTAGCCATTCCTATCCTAAGCAATCGCATTCGCATTTTGGGTGTCGGCCATACACCTTACTATATATTTTTGAAATTAAATTCTGTTTTTTGAAATTTGGATGTAGGAAATTTTTTTAGGGTAAATTATATTTTACCATCTCACTTTGGGTCACATAACAAACTTACATCTCATCTTCTGATCATTCCAATGTTTACATCAATTAATTTACGAATTTGTTAAATGTTGGACCGCTGTTAAAAAATCTGTTACGTTAACCGTTGAGCGGTTGTGTAGATAAACGGCTAACTTAACAGATTTTTTAACGGAAGTTTGATATGACAACGAATTCGTAATTTAATGTATGACATTGCAATGTTTAAAATATGATGTATGAGTTTGTTATGCGACATAAAATTGAAGTAGTAAAATGTAATTTATTCTTTCTTTTAATTTACATGGGTGCTAACCCTAGCTGCATGTGGTGTAAGCTCGGGTGAGATGACGTTGGTCCATGCATGGCGCGTATATATATATAATCATCATGTACATATATAATAGGTTGAATTTATTTTTTCGAGTTAAGGACAAGAGTAATGCTTCACTTGCCGCCACAAAAGGATCATCGAACAACCTCTGAAAAGTCATTAGGGTTTGTATTATTTTGTAATGTGAAAAGTCATGTTCGCCAAAGAATTGACTAAGGATAGTGTTTTTTTTTTTTTTTAACCAACGATATTACTTACATTAAGGATATTATTATTAGCATTTAGCTTTGCTTTCCACACACCCTTATCAATTTTGACGTTTGATCTTTATCAATTCATTTGTTCCGACAATCGAAAATTAAGATAGTGTGTGAAAAGTAAAAATAGATGTCTGGATAGCATTACCTTTATATAAATACGGAGGAAATAATGAGCACTTGCATGTATTGTCATCGTCTTCCTGTTGCAAACAGGTCTGTGTATTGGCGTTTAATGGTAAAAGTCCAACCTCTCGGTCACTAGACGCCATTTGATGTCTAAACATGGTAAAGCAGCTGGCCTACTTTTGGTGCAAGGTATCTTTGTCGACAAAAACATTGATCTAGCTAGATATTCTCTCTCACGACTCTTGAAAGGAAAAAAAAGTAGTAATGCTAGCTGGTTACGAAACAAGTTTCATTGGGTATGTACTATTAGTTTTCATATTTTGTTTGAGATATGGGCAAAATATATTGAGGAGATTGGGGATGAAGAAAGGTCAAGGGAGTGACGGCACATAACAAAGAAGGAATGAAAACAAAATCTCGGTGAAAATTCTGAAAACAATTCAAAGTACATAATTTTAAATTTTAGATTTTAGATTTCGTTTCGTACACCTTTCTTTACACATCTTCTCTACATCTCTCCCAACATCACTTCTCCACTCTTCTATGCCCGCATTTTCTCATGTTCTATCTTTAACATATAGAATAAAAACTAAAACAGGAATGATTGTCAAACATACTCTACAATGTTATATGAGATCATCCTCATTATGAGTTATTTCTTATTGGTGAAATAAAAGCACCCTTCTTTTTAATCCTGCTAAATCAAAGAAATATGTGTGTATGCAGTTTTTGGACAATCTGAAATCTCAAAGGGAATATGGAACAGCTAGCCGACAGGTATATTCCATGTACATAAAATGGACACTGGAAGACAAGAAGATCAATACAACTTCACTTTCAAGTGCCACTACTTCTACAGCCAAAGTTCCATTTGCACTCACAAATATGGAACTCCTCCTAAATGAAATGTGATGTACACATAGTGTGTAGATCTCTTCTGAAAAATAAATAAAATTTTAAGTTAACAGAACTTGGTGCTAGAGAGACCATAATTTTAAACTATCATTTTGTAACTTACATGATGTAGCGATTGATGGTTAGACTCTTTATTTAAATTATTATATGTTTCAAGATCATCCGTTGAAGAAGAAATTGCATTCATCATAACCTGCCATGTGACAATCATGCAAAGGATGTGTTAGCATCTTGTGTCATTCATCCAAAGCAACACCAATTTGAAGCAAAAGAGATAAAATTAAGCAAATTTAGTGCTGGGTCACCCTATAAGATAGTATAAAGTAATACTAAAGATATTGCTCACCACAATTAAAGTAAGAAAGATAAATATTATTAATTAACTACTTGTTAAACTTTTTTTTTTTTTTTTTTTTGGACTTAAGCAATATTGTCGTTAGGTTAGAAATTAAATTTACCACTAACAAAGTTTGAACCCACTCTGTCATACAAGGACATCACTCATTTCTTCCACTGTGATAGAAGGCCACTTGCAACTACTTGTTAAACTTTAGAACCATATATTTCATAGATGTAGACAGGATCTTTTGTAAAGGTCAAAAGATGCACATGATGAGCAATGACACCAATGAATACGATGTAAGATATTTTTTAGAGAATTTCTAATAACATTTGTTGTGTGACTGTCAAGTGTTGATAAATGTAAATCTCGATCCTATCACTAATTTAACAATCACTTAACCTATTAAAAGCATAACTCTCGATTCATTAATAATTTCACAACTGCCTAACTATTAATGAAAATAAACTGCGATTCATCAGAGTCACCCATATACGTGCAGGTGATGCTAGCTAGCTAGCGAAACTTTGAAAAATTAATCATTCCCCATTAGGGGTACACTCAATCAAATTGAAATCGATTGTGGGTCCAAGTCAAAATGCAAAGTTCTGCATGGCTTTTCCTTGATTACCTTTTCCAACAACCCTGTTCCCTTACAGAGAGACGTGATTTTCATCCAATATTATCTCTTTGTTTCTTGATGTTACTATTTAAATCCTAATATATTAACCAAGACAGGATAATGTTCTACCAAACATTTAGTTTATCGTTTGTGGAAAAAGAGAGGGAAAAAAACACATAGTTTTTGTTAGGGTTCCTTATCCTGTATCGACGTCTGTAGCATGCGTTTTCTGCATCCAATTTTCCAGTCATCGAGTAAAGAAAAAGCTTACAGCTTGCAGCTTACTGAATTATTATATGTTTCTTGGGAATCTAAAATATGTAGATCTGCTTGTAGGTTTACAAACTAAATTTGCACTCAAGGACGTGTACTTCTAATTATCTTCATCAAAGTTCTATAATTTGATTACCATTACAGTTAAGGACAATATAATCAAGTAAACGAAAGTTGTTTTGTCAAGTGATACTCTCATGCTGTCACCCGCCATTAACAACGATTAGGGTTCTTAACCCAAAAAAACAAAAAGGATTCGGATTTGTATTAACTTTTTGAAAACAAAGAAAACTGGATTTAGTAAAGAATTTGGACTAGGTAGGCATACTTATTTAATTTTTTTGTTGCAATTTAGATTAGTTTAAAGTAAAATAGCGTTCGAAATTTTAAGGAACTAACTACTTTACCTCGAATGAAACAACGTGTCCTTGAAGGAAAGTTCTGCGAAAATATCAAATGCAATATGCCAAAATAATATCTTGATATGGGGAAAATTTGGACTTACTTGGATCAACTGTGACAAGCATGGCAGTCCCTCCAAAGTCACAAGTGCCTCCAGCGATCTTCGTGTTCTGCCAGTAACTATTGAAGGCATACGAAGCATGCGACAACAATGTGTTGGGCTGGTAGCAGGACCCATTGGGACGGATTGACTTGCAGTCTGCCCCGGACCCACACGCATAGTCCAGGGCTTCTTGGATTATCGGGTCCGGCACTGTCGGCTTCACCACGCACCACACGGCAAACTGCGGTGGCTTTTTCTGCGGAGGAGATGGCGGTCCGGACGGTGGAGGGAAAGCTATTGGCGGCGGAAGGACTGGTGGGCTCAGGACTGATTTGGGTGGGATTGGGATTGTGGTTGGTGGGTGTGGGCTAGGCCCATTTTGTGGTGGGTTTGGGATGGGTGAGGAAATGGGCCCAGATGGAGGAGGATTTGCAAGAGATGGGTTTGGAGGAATTGGTGGGGATACGGAGTTTGGAGCCGGAAGAGGGAGATGTCCTGGTGCTGGTGAATCCAACGGTGGCGATGAGAAGGGAGAGCTGGCATCGAACGGTTGGAATTCAATATTTGGGGAAGCCAACGCAAAATGTAAGTCCAAGTGATTTATTGCTTTCAGCTTGTTCTTCTCTAATTCATGGATTGATTTGCTTTTGTGTAGTTTTGTGTCTTGGGGTTTAAAGAATTGCGCAAAACTTCTTGCATCTGCACTAAAACAAACCACAGAATTAGTTGTAAAGGTTGTTCAAGTTACTTAACTTGTAGGAAGGAAAGTACGCATGCAATTAACACGTCACACTAACAGTATTTCAAGTCAATCACATGCTGCAACGTGGAAATTAAAACACATTGCTTGCATGATAGGCTTAGGATACTATCACATTGACATATTGCCACAATGGCAATATCCCAAGTCAATCACGCAGTACAACTTGAGAAGTTAAAACACATTGCTTGCGTGATAGTCTTGAAATACTACCATAGTAACACTCCAGATGCATATAAGTTTCACCCGCTCACAAGTAGGGCAACATTAATGATTCTGGACACAAAGAAAATGGCTTGCTTACCACATAGAATGGAGAAAGTAGTGATTGTAATGGAGATGTAGAAAATTGGTATGATGCTCAATCTCAAGCGATACATCTTGAAATCCAAAACACTCAAAAAAACCGAACTGAAATTTCTGCTTAATTTAATCATCTCCCAAGAACACACTTGGAATATATACATATAGGCAGGAAATAAAGGGAAACTAATTAAAGGAGATTCCTCTTCACTAGTTTGTATTACTAAAGAGTGTGTCAGTTTTTGGAGAGGTGTACAAGTAAATTTTCTCACTTTTTGTAGCTTCCTTTGAATATATGCTTGCTTGGCATTGGAGAAATATGAACATTGGAGATTTTTCTGAACTTTATTTTGCTTGTTTCTCACTCAAAAGAGCCGCACACTTCATTCCCTCTCACTCTCTGTATTAGGTCCTGCATTTCTCCGCAAGTTATGGGTCCTTCGATATGTAGTTTTCGAACTTTTAATCTTGTTTCGGTTAGCTCATCTCTTACTATCCCAAGATGTTTAGCATTTTTTTCTTTTGCATCGTCATGGAACGCCTTAAGAACCCTTAACTTGAAAAACATGAATCTTGCTCTAAGCATTCTCAGCTAGAAGAGATATTAGTTAAACTTCATAACTGCTGAACTCTTGGTTCGTGCTCGTCACTGAACCTGATACCTAGGAGTTTTTGTTTGCCAATGTAACCACGAAGGCACAGAGGCTGAAAGGCCACAAACACACACCATACTGAAGTTGGGAACAAAAGAACTGCATACAATTTTCACTTGTCGTCAAGGACAAGATGCCCATCTTATTTTCTGGCATGTCTTACTCTCGTATATTTCATTGCAGACACATAGTAGGTACTGACTTTCGGTTCTAGCTAAGAACACTAGAAGGCCATATGAATATCAAGAACACATAAAATTAAGTTCCACATAAACCCCCATAACTTGATTTGCTAAAGAAGAAGTTATTTCCTTTACTAATCACACTTAGTTGGCTGTGAGTCCGTAGCTCTTGAAATTATTCTTGTTGATAGCTTTTGAATTAAGCATTCGATGTCAACCTGTTATAATTTGGCAGTCCTGTTACCATTTGGCAACAATATTCTGCTATTTGTAACCTAACCCTTCCTCCTTACGGCAATTTGGGAAGAAGTTACCTACTTGGTTTGTTCAATTATGTTTTAGAGTTCAAATTTAAACACAGCCACTAAACTTGGACAATAAGTTATATGAGCGTTGCCAACATCCCCTTGCCATCTACGACAAGTGAGTTTTGAATTGTTCTCAAGTTTTAAAAGAAAATCTAGTCATGTTCATTATTCAGAATGTCAATTATTTTTTCGCTCTAAATGTTATAAAATTATGACACCATTGGCAACGGACTCTTGCCGTTTCTAGCATATCTAGACTTGGTAGATTTCTCGCATTTGGAAAGCAATTGACCATACTCAACGGCCCCTTTCCATAGTATGATTTTTACCTTTCTTATAACATATAACCTGAAATGGCATGTAACCTGTTTTGGATGAGGAGATTAGGTAAACTCATGGTATAAATTCGGGTCTCTGTGTTCGAGTTAGGAACCATTGTGTGTTAGTTGCTAAGCTGTAGCCTCATTCGGTAAAAAAACAAATATGGCTGCAAGCCCTCTCCTAGATATGCTATTTGCTAATCAGATAGTGATTGCCCAGCACATTTCATGGACTCCACCCCCCCCCAATAATGCATGGAAGATCAGCTTCGCTGGTCACCATGAGCCAGAATCAGGGACCGGTTCTTTTGCTTGCATTGTGAATTTGTGAGAGATCACAATGCTGTGTTCAAAGCTGCCATTGCTGGACTTTCTGGCAAGGTCAGCGACGGTGTAGTGGCACATTTAACTGCTTTCTCCCGGGCAGTTGACTTTGCGATAACTGAAGGAATTGATTACCTACAGATAGAAGGTAATCATCCATTTGTGTTTGAGATGATCACAGGCGAGACCAAGATACCCGACTCCTTGACCAGGGGGCTTGTTTTTCGTTGCATTCATGACTTGCAAAAGTTGAGGAGTGTGACATTCTGCTCGGTCACCATGGGTGACAAATTTTCTGCTAACTTGCTACCCAGGATTGCTACAGAGCGTCAGCGACTTGAGTTTTGGCCTGACATCCCTCCAAAGGAAGTAGCTGAAGGCCTAGTACTGAATGTCATCGGCCGTTGGATGCCTCCTTATCTTCTGAGGGAGGCATCATCTTTTGCACCCAAACGTCCCCAAAGCAGGCTTCCTAGGAAAAAACAGAGGAGAAACTACTACATATCATTTGTGTGAACATGTTTAGGGAGAAAGATTAAGGTAAAACACATTGAGGTTTAACTCTTGTGGTTGTACTACTCATCATGTAATAACCAAGTTAAACTTTTCTTAGCTTTTTACAGTTCGAATTGTTTACAATAGTAAAAAAAAAAATTTATTATCCCCCTTTCAAGTGTTGGGTTTTTATTTATATCTGTTTCGGTAGTGATTATAACAGTTATTTTTAATTAATGTGAAGTGCAGAGGTTAAATGAGAAGTGTTAAAATCATTCGCCTGTTCATTTTTTGATATTTGACACTTGACATGTTGACACAAGTGACTAGACACCACTCTTTTTTATATAAATTTATTTTGGAATAGTAATTTTGACCCTTATTTTCTCCTTCTACACATCTTCCTTTGATTTATTCAATTCAAGAGTCAGGGAAAAAAAAGTGAGTTTAGAAATTACATCCCTTATTTTGAAGGTTCATACTTGTAATCTTGGAAAAAAAATTATAATTAGGAACACAAATCACGTAATGTACTATTTAACGTGTTATAATAAGAGTTATAATTTGAGTGAAAAGTCACGCTACAAATTACTCGCAATCTTAATTTCTTTAAGAGCAACTAGAAATGTAAAATCACAAATGAGAGTAAAAAAAAAAGGTGTGACACACCTTTTTTTACTTCTCCCACACATTTTAAGTTTCCGGCCGTTAGATTCAATGAATTGAAGAAGATCAACGGACAAAAATTAATAAAGATGTGTGAGAAGTAAAAAGGCATGTGTAGATAGCACATCCCAAAAAACAAAATTGTTTTGGGTTTTTCATATAAGAAAACCCAATAAAAACTGGGCTTAAATATACAATATCAGATGTTTGGGCCTAGATTCGACATTCCAGAATGATATTTTTTGGTCAGACACGACATTGTATTTTGGCCGTTCGACATTTTTAATATAGTCAATGTAACGGTAACTTTCCTGTCTTGTCTTCTTCTTCTTCCCCTTCTATCTGCTCAGATCAAGCACCAAAACCAAACTTCACCAACACAAAAGTTCTCATCTTTTGCGACCAAAAAGCACCAACTTAGCTTTACCCTACAACAATGGCAGTAGAAGATGAAGCATTTTCTCTCACTTCACTCAAACAAGAAGAAGAAGAAGAGAGAGAGAGTTTTTTAGCTTTGAGCAGCACTTGCAAAGTGGTGGAGTATCTGCAGCCAGTGATGTCCAAAGAGCTCCTCTGCAAGTTCCCGGACAACTCCGCTTTTGATTTCGACTACACGCAGAGCTCCATATGGTCCCCGTTGGTCCCCCGGGCTTACGCTCCCATGGATTTGGATATGGACTTGGATTTGGATTTCTGGAGACCGAGAAAGCTCAATTTGGAGATGGGGTTGGAGGTGAAGAATCAGAACAGCAGCCTGGTTGACACCGGAGCCGGTTCGGGCATTAAGAAGAAGAAGATCTCCACAACCGCAACTTGTTTCAATCTGAATCGAAGTGCTCTGAAGAACAAGGTGATGAAGAGGAAGAAAAGCAAGATGGTTTTGGCCTCTGATTTCTCTCCAACTCCTGTGAAGATTAACTGTAACCCCATTGCATCAAAGGTACTGCCTTTTTTTTATCTGTGTTCTTAGATTTTTCGTTTTTCATATTTTATTGAGAATCTGAGAATTTCTTGTGGGGGGAAGGAAATTAAGATTCAGGGAAATTTTAAAAGATGGGTTACATTTTACAAGTTCTTTCTGTTAAATTTTGGGGAAAGACTGAGAATTTAATCGTTGATTTTGTAATTTCTTCTGTAATTTTGGTTTCTCTGTTTGTTTATTTCTAAATTCTTATATAGAGCCAAGCACATTGACATTTTAGGATTCATACAACCGATTCCACTTAGTGGAATGCAACTTAGTTGTTGTAGTTGTAAATTGTAACATATGAAGTTTGTGTTATTGGTCAGGTGTGGAATAAGGTGCTTAAAGCTGCCTCAAAGCATTTCAAGAAAAAGAAGAGAGATCCCATGGATCATGCGAGGCTCTCCAATTATTTGAGATCAGATGGAAGTATTTGAAGGCTTAATTTGTTTCTCACTTGCAATTCTTTATTGTTTCATTCAATTTGTTAATTTCATTTAATTGTCTCTGTCAATAAGAGCAAGCATTGCTTTGTAGAAGAAACTAGATAATAATGACGGCGCGTTGCTGTAGAATTACAAATTGACTTTCTAGCAATGTATAAACTTGAGTTAGTATCGGTGTAACATTGACTGATCTAACAAAATTATCATAACAAAGAAAAGAATTTTATTTGTTGTAAAAAAATTATTGTTTTGATACCTTACAAAGGTAATTTGTTCAAAAAGTTGAAAGCAAGCGATTTTCAATCTTGAAATTCCACAGCATCCTTTGAAAAATAGCGACCATCATCGGATGGAACTATTGTACCATCTAGAGGAGAGAAAAAACGATTAGTTACTGAGATATTCTCATACAAAAAAGAAACACACTTGAAATTGAATGAACAAAATAATTCAAACATGGTAAGTAGATCATAGGAGATAATCTATCATTTTTGGTCAAGTGAGAAGACGGGAAACCAAATGTTGAGAAAAGGAATGCAAATGGAAACTGAGGGAGATTTTTGGAAACTGAAAGAGATTTGGAGAGATGCAATTGAAGAGAACCTATCCACGATGATCGACGCGCAGCGAAACAGTGGAAAACGCGTGGGAAGGCTGTGCAAAAGAAGAAAAGCAACTGTCAAGCTGGCACCCATGCATCCAATTTCTTTATCCAATTTTTTTTATAATTATTTATTGTTTAGTGTGCCATGGCCTGGTTTAACTCCCATTTAAAAAAAAAAATCTGTCCTACCACCAGTTTTTTAATTATTATTTTATATTTTCTGTCTCCCAAATGATGTACATGGGTTGAAAAAAGCAACAACAGACAAATGAAGACCGGGTGGATAGACGCGGGGCCACGAAGGACAAAACGGACATTTTTACTGTAGCAATGCAAACAGTAATGAACAGTGACGTCTGATGAACTTTAGTAGGTGTAAATAAATATGGATGATTTTCGGCTCAACTTTGCATTTCAATAAAATACTTCTTCCACTCTAAATCGAAATGAAGAAGCCAGCAGAGCTAGTGTTCGTCCCAGCCCCAGGCATTGGCCATATCATATCAACGGTTGAGATCGCAAAGCAACTCGTCGCTCGAGATGATCAACTCTTCATCACAATCCTCATCATGAAGCTCCCCTTCGACAAACTCTTCACCAACACAGACTCTTCAATCTCACACCGCATCAACTTCATCAACCTCCCCGAAACCCTAGTCGACATACCACTCGTCTTCCTCTCTTTCGTCAACTCATTCGTTGAGAGTCACAAAATCCACGTCAAAGAGGCTGTCACGAAACTACTCACTGATCAGTCAGCTCAGTCCGAGTTCAAAAACCCTAGGGTTCTTGCCGGGTTCGTCATTGACACGTTCTGCACCTCTATGATTGACGTGGCAAACGAGTTTGGAGTTCCTTCTTTCCTCTTCTTCACATCCACGCGGGCCATGCTAGGGCTCTGGTTGCATCTCGCGTCGCTTCGCAACGAACACGACAAGGATATCTATGAATTGATTAACTCGAGTACTGAGTTGGTCATCCCGAGTTTTGTCAACCCTGTGCCCACTAAACTGTTCCCTAGTGAGCTTTCGGACAAGGAAGTAGTCGCCATCTTCCTCGACTTTGGAACTAGGTTTAGAGAAACCAAGGGTATTTTGGTGAACACGTTCTCGGAGCTGGAAGCCCATGCGATTCACTCCCTGTCGGACGGTAAGACCCCTCCGGTGTACCCTGTGGGGCCCCTGTTGAATCTGAAGAGTGATGATACTCGTGTGGCTCCAGATAAGGCCAGAGAAAAGTCTGCTATCCTGGATTGGCTTGACGATCAGCCCCCGTTGTCGGTGTTGTTCCTGTGCTTCGGGAGCATGGGTAGCTTCTGTGAGGCCCAAGTGAAAGAGATAGCCCGTGCGCTGGAGCAAAGCGGGCTTCGGTTCTTGTGGTCCCTACGCCAGCCCCCGCCCAAGGGGACCTTGACCTTGCCAAGCGACTATGCGGATCCCAAGGCAGTCTTGCCCGAAGGGTTCCTTGATCGGACAGCCACGACCGGGAAGGTCCTAGGATGGGCGCCGCAAGTGGCGATATTATCTCACCCGGCGGTCGGAGGTTTCGTGTCGCATTGCGGGTGGAATTCCGCTCTGGAGAGTATATGGCACGGCGTGCCGATTGCGACGTGGCCAATGTACGCAGAGCAACAATGGAATGCATTTAAGCTGTTGGAGTTGGGATTGGCAGTGGAGATTAAGATGGATTATAAGACGGAGAGTGAAGTAGTGGTGAGTGCAGAAGAAATAGAGAGAGGGATTAAGGAGGTGATGGAACTTGATAGTGATACAAGGAAGAGAGTGAAGGAGACGAGTGAAAAAGGTAAAAAAGCCTTGGAGTTTGGTGGTTCCTCTTACACTTCGTTGGGTCGTTTTGTTGATCAAATTTAACTTTTTATTCAACAAAGTTCAAGATCATTTTATGACTGGTTGCAGTAACTATTTTTCATATTTTTCTTTCGTTGTAGCAAGTTTGGCATTGTTAGTATGGTGTACAACGGGGAAAGATGAATAAAGTTTTCATGTTTGGTTTAATATGTATAGAGGAATTTCATCTACGCTGCAACACTTGTCTTTGAATACTTATCAAAATGTCGAGAATGTTATGTATGGTACATTGAAAATAAAAATGTCCCATTGGCAATTCGATTGTAGAATTGAACACATAATATAAGGTATTTAACCGCTATAGTTTCACCTAAAAAATATAGGTGTTGTATAATTAGTACTTTCAATTTCAAGGTCCTTGACCTTCACACCTATTACTGCCGCCCAATGTGTTTTGGGTTATATGCTATTCACAGTCGAATTATTGCCGCCAATGTGTATTGGGTCATATATGTAGGGGATGAAATTTTTTGCCAAATTATCATACCAACCGAATTATCAACTGTACCATATTAAAGTTGTGCCAAAAAATTTGTACCATTGGTAATGATACGGCATGTGTACCGTACCATACATTTTTTGTACGGTAATGGTATTCAAAACTATTACCAGTGCTACACCGTACCGTACCACTACTATTAATATTACATCATTTATATATAACTAGGTATTATTATCATTATATACGCACTTTATATTATTTTTCCTAGTCATTTATCCAATCACCTCACCCTCTAACCTCTACTTTCTCAATATAAAAACCTAAGCCTTCTTGCGTTGCGACTCTTCATCTTTTCACTCATCTAGCCACCGACTTCATCTATGTTGCTCCAATTTTGGTGACTCTCTCTCTCTCTCTCTCTCTCTCTCTCTCTCCTCCCCCTCTCTCTGGAGTCCATCTCATCTTTTCTTCATGAAATTGGGATGTCTTTCTCCTTGTCTTCGTCTATCAAGTTAATTTTTGTATAATTTTAAAGAATGTAGAGATGGAATTTAGGAATCTTTGTATTATTTTTTTAGGGATATTGGGTTCTTCAACAATTCTTCCATCTATTTACTTCTTGTTAAATGAATCTCTATAAAATTCTCATAATTAAATAAAAAAGTTTTAGAAACCCAAATGGAGTGACTAAAACACATTTGGGCCGTGAATTGGGTTGCAAAGTAAATCAAAATTTGGCCCAAAAGAATGACCCAAAACAAAGTGGTAATTACCATTACCATATCATGTCAACTGAACTATTTAGCATACCGAAATTCGGTATACCGAAAGTTTGACAGGGTAATAATAATAGATTTTATCATACCAAAAGTTTTGTATGGTAATTGGTAAATGGGTTTTGGTACAGTGATCGTATCAATACCGTACCAATACCATCCCTAAATATATGTGCTCCACTTCACCTTGTCAACATTGATCACTTAGGTACCGTTTGGTACGTGGAACAGGACGGAACGCAGTGGGACGAGGCATTCCGTCCCGTGTTTGGTACACCAAAATGATTGGGATGCGCTATCTCGTGGAACGAGTTTTAGCCATTTCTTTGTTCCACCTTCCCCCTGGAACAACTTGTTCTAACCCATGGAAAACAAAATTATATTTTTTTTGGGACAACAATACCCCTCCTCTTTTTTATTAATTCCACTCTCTACCCTCGTTCTTTCTCCCGTAGCCTCCCTCTCTTTGAACCCAATCCCAACAAATACATCCGAACCCAATCTTAGTTTCCTTCCGCCGCCTCCCACCTCCCTGGTTAATGCCACGGTCTCTAGAACTGCCATGGAAGGTTGCTTGATGAGATGCTCTCACGGTGGCACTCTCCTGAAAGCCCTCAAACCTCTCGTTGCGTCGTGCGTCCTTCCCTGCTTTCTTCTCCGCATCGTGGCTTTTGCCTGTTGATTACTCCATTTTACAGGCTCTATTTTTCTGGGTTCTGATCAGAATTTTGTGCCATTGTGTTTTGATCCAATCCGAGATTTCAATCTCATTTGTTCAAATTCTTTTTTTTGGGTTTTTATTTTGTATTTTGTCAAGTTCTGAATTTTTGTGTTTTGTTTTGTGGTGAGTTAGTTGTCCGCAGAATGAGGCTCAGTGGGGAGCAATGGCTAACAGGAATCTGGAGAAGTTGGAGTCCATTAACGCACAACTTCGGCTCCTGGTTTCGACTGTAAAATTTGGTTTCGATCGGTTTGAGACATTCATCTTGATTTCGATTGGTACCCATGATGCAAAAACACTTGAATTTGTGATTGGAATATGTTGCACTTTCATTCTACTGCTAAAAGTATGGAACTTTGTGTGTGAATTGAAACTCCTTATCAATTTTGTTTGAACCCTTTTGATATTGGTGGATTCATGGACCCTTTTGATTTTTTTTGGATTTGATTTTCCTTACGAAGGTTTATAACTTTGGAGGGTTTCCAGAAGTTGATTGGGTTCTGGGTTGGGTGTTTTGCGTTCTTCCTCTCTGTGAAAGGAGGTTGGATTTGTGTGTTTTCTGGGATGCCAAAGTTATGATCAAATTGAATAATTTATGGATTATGTTAATAGAGTGGTTGATCAAATTTTGGGTTGAGCATTTGTTATTGCAATGTTGTTGACATCAATCCTTTTGTTTACTAGGAGCAATCTGGGCATGTGAAGAACAAGGAACATATGGAAGAAGAGAAAGTAGAGAGACGGGAGAGACAGAGTCAAATAAAAAGGGTAAGTCAATCATTTAGTCCCATTCCATCTTGCGCATACCAAACATGACACAAAATCTTTGTTCCGTTCTGTTTCGTTCCGTCCTGTCTCGTCTGCGTACTAAACGGTACCTTAGTCCAATGTACATAAATTATTGCCTTGAGCTTGGCAATGGATGCTAGCATTGAGTTCTATGGTAAGAGAAAAGGTTGTGAAGGGACTACAGGACATAGTGATGGGGACAAGGCAAGTGATTAATCATTTCTCTCTTATCAAAACTTGATAAGTAAATGTGATATAGTACAACCTTTATATAATCATGTTGGAGTAAAATAATTGTATAACTATGGGAGCTAGAGGTTATAACTAAATACATGTATGGTTAAAAAAAATCAAAAAAAGAAAAGAAAAGGAAAACCTGATATAAGTTCCTTTATTTTTTTTTTTTTGAACCAATAGTAGAAATAGTTCAGTTTATTAAAATAAGTCTAATTCTTTAAATATAATTATTTTATTATTAATAATTATCTCTTTAATGATAAGATTTATTATAAAAATTAAATTTCTTCCTAATTATCTCTTTGATTATTTATGTTTTTTTAATGTCTTGTTTCTTCCTCCTGCTTTAAACCCCATTTATTGATTTTATTTTTACTTTTTATAATCAACGTATATCACAGGTTAATTATATTTACCTACCTATATGACATATTCTTTTTTATAATCAACCCATCATAGATTAATATGATTTACTTATAGGTATATTATGTTTTTTCTACCTTTTAGCTAGGTTTCATATCACGCTTATATAATATACATTCATATATTTGTTATTTGAGTTAGAATAAAATGTTTTCAATATAGATTTATGTTAGTATATTAGTTTTTTTGTTATAGGATATTAATTAGATTCTTTGGAGTTGGAAAATGCATGATATTAGAAGATTTTAATTGATTTTTAATATTTTTTAGAATATAAAATGAGTGAAAGAAATAAAAACATGTAATTAAAAGCTGGACTCACTTCTAAAATCTATCTATATTTTTGGATTGGATCTAAAAGCCCCTTAAGAAAAAATATTTTTTTTTCACGGTTATCCTTAATGAAAGTTGTATGAATACAAAATGGCATTTTAGCCAAAATTGTTCTTAAGATTGGCATAACTCCTCACTTGGGTCCCTGAGATTTGAAATCGATAAAAGTGGTTCATGAGGTTGTCCGCAATCAATCATTTTGATCATTCTGTGAAAAATCTTTTTTAATAAGAACCAAAATGACAAAAATACCCTCAATTTAATAAACAATAGGCCAAAATGATTTGACAAAAATTGAGAATATTTTTGTTATTTTGGTCCTTATTTAACAAAGATTTTTCACGGAATGAACAAAATGATTGATGGTGAACAAACTCAAGGACCACTTCTTTCAATTTCAAATCTTAGGAACCAAAGTGAAGTGTTATGCCAATCTCAAAGACCATTTTAGCTCAAAAGCCTTAAACACATTCGTGCGATTTCCTATTATTTATTAATGAAATTTCATTATCGTCTCCGAAATGGATAGGCTTAAGACAAACCAATAAAATCTTTATGTTATATTTCAATTTCTTGGTTTGTCATGTTTTGTCTTGCTAGATTATCAATCCCATTTGTACCATTTAATGGGATTGGCGGGGACAAGCTCTTTCACGACTAATTCATCTTCTGTCTTTAAGGTGGACAAATGCAGAAGAGAAGCCAAACCTAACTTGGACAAGGGTAGACGTTGATATCCATTTTTTCAATCAACATTCACCAAAACTAATTATCCAATCCAATCCTAAACACCGAACGAGTTCTTCAGACTAAAAATGATACTCATAGGGATAACCATAGTAAGCTAGTGTTTATTTATTAAGTGGTTTTAGTCTCATATCAATGACTAGATACATCGTAGTGCATGTCAGACACTTTGTTTCTTGGTTAAGAGGGGAAAAAGGTTAGAAAATGGAAGTTAAACGTTCAGTTAAAGCGCACAAACAGCCTTCTCTGCTCTTCGTATACCTCTCTCCACACCCACACCTACCCCCACCCCCACCTTTCAAACCACCACACCGACCACCCCAGACCACCTCTCCTCCCCAATCATCTACCTCCCAAAGTTCAAAACCCCCACCGTCCGCTCCCGTATCAGCAAACTCTGCCAGGAAGGCCAACTCCACCTTGCCCGCCAACTGTTCGACACTTTGCCTCGCCCCTCCACTATGCTTTGGAACACCATCATCATTGGATTCATCTGCAACAACATGCCCAATGAATCCCTCTTGTTCTACTCCCAGATGAAATCCTCCTTTCCCGGCACCAAGGCCGACCCTTACACTTACTCTTCCACCCTCATAGCTTGCGCCGACACCCGCAATTTTAAGATGGGTAAAGCCATGCATTGCCATGTTCTTCGGTGCCTTCCCAACCCCAGTAGGACTGTGTGCAATTCGCTTTGAATATGTACTCTGCTTGTTATAATGACTTTGATTATTGCGACTATGATTTAGTGCGTAGGGTGTTTGATACAATGCGTAAGAGGAATGTGGTTGCGTGGAATACGCTGGTTTCGTGGTATGTTAAGACGGAGAGATATGCAGAAGCTGTAAAGCAATTTAGGATGATGATTGGAATGAGAATAACGTCGAGTGCTATCAGTTTTGTCAATGTTTTCAGCTTCATCAAATCTTCGGAATCCGGATATTGGAAAGCAGATCCATGATCATCTTATTAGGCATGACATATAATTTGAGGGGATGAACAGTTATCTCATTGACATGTATACTAAATCTGGTTCCGTAAGGATCGCAAAATGGGTTTTAAAAAAAGACTAAAGCTGTGATAGAGATCTGGCTACTTGGAATTCTATGATTGCTGGGTACACACAGAATGGGCCAACTGAAAAAGCTTTCATTGTCTTTAGGCATATGCTTGAGCAAACCCTCATACCAAATGCCGTGACCTTAGCATCAATTCTCCCAGTTTGTAATCCAGTGGGAAACATAGATATGGGTAAACAACTCCATGGGTTCTCTATCCGCCGTTACCTTGACCAAAAAGTCTGTGGGATATGCTCAAATTGACATGTATTCCAAATGTGGTGCAGTTACTTATGCTGAAAATGTATTCTCCGGATCCCACGAGAAGAACTCTGTCACTTAAACCACAATGATACTGGGCTATGGTCAACATGGAATGGGTGAGAGAGCTCTCTCTTTGTTTCACTCAATGCAGAAATCGGCATTGCACCTGATGCCATAACCTTTGTTGCAGTCTTGTCTGCATGCATTTATGTTGGTTTGGTTGATGAAGGTCTTTCGATACATGATTCAATGAAAGGGGAATGCAGTATTAAACCACTAACGGCACACTATTGCTGTATAGCAGACATGTTAGGGAGGGTTGGAAGGTTGGTTGAAGCTTCCGAGTTTGTCAAGGGTTGGGCGAAGAGGGTGATGTCATGGAAATTTGGGGTTCACTTCTTGGGGCGTGCAGAATTCATAAACCTTTTGATTTGGGAAAAGATTGTTGCTGGGAAATTGCTTGAACTAGAGGCAGCAAATAGCAAAACGAGCTACCATGTTTTGCTCTCAAATATTTATGCCGAGGAAAGCAAGTGGGAAAATGTTGATAACGTGAGGAAACAAATGAGGCAAAAAGGTTTGAGGAAGGGGACTGGATGTAGTTGGATTGATATTAACGGTTTTTTGAACTGTTTTGCGTCTAGGGATGAAAACCATCCTCAGGGTGATGAGATATATGATGTGTTGGAGGAATTGACTGTGAAGATCAAATATACTGTTTATAGGCCTTCTCTCAATTCTTCCTTAGATGCATCGGAACTTAATGAGTGATGAAGAATACTTGAAAAAGATTCTTTTCCTGCTTATGCTGTCATTCAATGTGGTAAACTTCGACAAGTCTGCATGCAAAATATCCACCATTCGATGCTCGTATTGCAGCATTCAATGTGGTTAACTTCGACAAGTCTGCATGCAAATATCCACCATTCGATGCTTGTATTGTAGCACAACTCCTTTGCAGGATCATAACAAGAAGTATATGTCCGTGGAAGACTGTCCTTCATGTAAGTTTCTTAGTTTCAATCCTTTGTCATTGCGGATCCGACATTAATCCTCCATGGCGTGCATTTTCTCTAGCTTCTTAAAATTACATGCTTAATGACAGGATTAAAAGCGTGAATTTTCCTACAACTAGATTGCCTGGTTTCTAGCAAGCAAGTCAGTGGGCACGTCTTCTTATTGAGTTTATCTTCATCTTACATTTATGTCGTGTATCATGATGTTTGTATCTGCAGCTAGAATATACTTTCTTGCTAATTTGGAACTTGGCGCAGGTCAGCAGTTGTGTATCGTAGATGCTTCTCCAACGTTGCTCAAGTCTTTCCACATGGTCTTTGGTAGTGAACTCAGGACAGTGGTGGTTAAGCCAGATCAAGTTAATAAGATTCCATCTCAAAAAAGCCTTTTACATATTATTCAGGTTGGATATAAAGCACGATTTCTGCCTGTTCTCGTTTTGCACATGGCCATGACTTAGTCTTGGGTTATTTCTTTTCTTCCATTTGCCTTAATCTTGGGTGCCTCGTATTATATTGGTCGCTCTACTTAGCACTCTTGAAAATGTTTATGTTTTGTGCTCTCTAGCACACTTGTTTGTATGCATTTAGTTTTGCGCCGAGAGCAATTAAGTAGTTGAGTAAGAGTCTCTGTATTGGTACCACACCCAAAGTTCCTTGTCTTGTTCTATGTGTATTGAAGCTTTGTATTGGCTTGTCTCCCATCTGATTTCTTTTATCTTCTTGATTGTGTAAGCTTGGATGTATGCGGGATTCGGTTTATGAGAGTTAAATCACTTTTGTAATCTCCTTTGTTAATACTGGAATTTCATTGCCGTCTCCAAACTAAACGGAGGTTTATTCTCAACGAGTATAAATCGTTGTGTTATTTGGATTTCAGTATTTATCATACTTTGCCTTGCTTATGTATTGATCTCATGTCTGTCATTTCTCACAACCAGCCAAATATGGAAAATGCCATCTGGATTCGATATGGAAGCTGTGAAGCAAGACAGTTATATCATATGTTACCTTGCATTCTTATGCTTTCCTGTTACGTATATTGTTAAAGTGAAGTATGTATATTTGCTCTCATGTTACCGAGTCACAGCCGGTCATGAACGAGGAAAATTGGTTATAATCCTGTGACAGAAATTCTGTAATTTGGTCATGGTTACAGGGCAAATGAGGAAACCCAATATGGCCGCGGAAATCTCCGTCAAAAAACTTAAACGGACGTGCACTGCCCGTTGAAGGGGAGTTCTAGTGCTGCAGCTGCAGGCGGACGTTTTCCTCTGTGCAGAAGTGGGGGGAAGTCCTTTCACTAGGTATTCTTTGTTGCCAAGACTTGCTTAATTTCAACTTTGTTGCGTCGTATGGAGATTTTCTTC